GCAACAGGAAGAGAAAAATGAAAGGGTGTATAAATCAGACTGTATCTTGCCTCCATACCGCAATTCGTCATATGTTTTTCACATGTATCTAGAAATGGTCTAAGATTGCCTTCACTCCATTTCCGATAGCAGTGGAGCATCCTTCTACAAAAGGGAGAGTATTGTCATGGTAACCAACCCTACCTCGTTCTGGCTGTTCTATCTAACATGAATGGGTAAGTTGGTTGACCTCGTTGTCGCAACTTGGTCCTGTTGTCAGGGCGACTTAGTAGAACGCACCTAGTCCGAAGTCTCATAGTAGTTGTCATGATCCCAGCATGAGACAGTGGACTTGGTACATTCTCAAAACTTTTCCGCACGAAGCTACAAACTCATCAAAGACAAAAGTGAAGTCAATCCCTCGACAAACATTCTGCCGAAAACGGTTACACTATCACTCCTCTTTCTGTCATTGTCTATCTATCTACTCTTTACACTTTTATCCCACTGCCGCTCTATCACAACTTCTCACTTGTGTACATTCCACTCGTCAAAAGGTGTGCCCCTTTGTGGCAAATCTAGTGTGGCCCCATCACACTTGCCATTTACCCCGATCCCTCTCTTTCGATGGGCTTATCCCACTCGGGCCTCCAATCCGGATCCTTTCATTGTCTCGTAGATCCTTGTTTATCTTTATGGTTGACCGATTTCACTCGGTTCCAGTCCATTTCACTCCAGGCGCTATTTCTCAAGGCCCTAGAAGCACTTACACTGCCGCTTCATTGAGGAAAGCGCCTAAGCTCTGATTGCCATGCTTGCAGATATCAGGCCTTCCCTCCACGGGTCCTCTCCTCGATTAAACCCATGTTATTTGAGCAAACCGTGGACGCCTATTTCTGGTCGCATGCGGCATCTTAAGTGTATTTCTAATACATTTTGGCCATTGCGCCGAATTTCCGTGAGGATTATGCTTATGCGTCTGCCCAGCTCCCTGACTGCCAGGCCCCAAAAGTTGTACTGGTTTATTCGAAATGGACATCACTCACCGACAACGTCTTCATTTGATTGCCGAAAACCCCTCCTCCTACTTTCTTCATCGCGATACCTTTTCCTCCGGTTAGGGGTAGATCCTTGATCCAGACGTCTCCTTTTCGCTGGTCTTGCTCTATTCTCGTTTTCCCCCAGTTTGCTTAGGCAGTAGGCAAAGTTATCGCTAACTCTACCTTCTTCCAATCTCGTGTTCTTTAGATTTTTATCTCCAAGGATGTCAATAGCCTCCCTAATCTTCCGCTTCCTTGTGTTGTCACCGTATGGAGCTGGTTTATAAACTCTAGAATACTTTCCAGTTTTTGAATATATGAAGACCAAGATGTTATGGCCTCTGGTATGGTCGCAGTCTCCTTTCGATTTACAAAAGTGTGTTGACCTCGTTGTCGCAACTTGGTCTTGTTGTCAGGGCGACTAAATAGAACGCACCTAGTCCCAAGTCGTCGTCAGGTCAATTGTTAAGACTTATTAGTTTCTCTTTAGGAGACCCGAGACCTAGAGTCTATTTCCAAATCGCTTCTTCGGATTCTCCCTTAAATGTGCACCACCACGAATCTAACTTGGTCTCATGTCTTGTGTCATCCGTAACTTGCTGGGCATTACTTTGCTGTCGACAGGAATGAGGGGAAAAATGACTTTGGTGCTTTGCCCATGCGAGACGTGACAACAGTGTTGTACACTTCGTGTCTTCTTAACCCATGCCGCGTATGGCTCCTTCTGTCTGATTGTACTTCTGTGCTGTAGAGTTAATGATGTCCGTCAGAAGCCGGTGTCAGCTTCCTACCTTGAGTCTCAGTCTCGCACCGGTTTATCTTTGCCTCCCTATCTTTCATATCTTCCCCACACTCAAGTGTACCTCTTTCGGTTATTCTGTCAGTTAATATGATCCTAAAAGACACTTTTGAATGTCACTCATGGACCCTTTCATCAGTCCGGCATCTCTGACCCAATGTCTGAAATGCTAAAGTTCTATTCACGACAGCTACATGCCGACCTACCTTAAAACTATGCATTTTTCCTCAAGTACTCAACTTTGGGTCATCTTTTCATACAGCTTACACTTATTTGTCCACAAGGGCCTGCCGAATGAGACTGTTCAGCCTTTTGTCAGTTGGCGAATCGACGATCTATTTCCACCACCCCCTGCTCCTAACAACAGCCGCGTTCAGTTCCCGCGGGGGTTACTGATGAGACCCGGGCAAAATCGAAATGACAGTCCACTTGAGCTGGGATGAGAATACCATTTTGCAAGTTTGGCTAACGGATATTCGCTAGAAACGTGAGACCTACTCACATAATTGTGGGAAACTTCCATTATCAGTTCTTAATCGCCATATTCTATCTACGGTGCCCTGGACTCTTACTGATAATCTCGAGGACTACTTTATTTTAATGCAAGGAAAGGATGAGTTCCAGCTCTGAGGATGCCAATCATATAACGGACGAAGGTCTGGCTCGCTTTAAACCGAAACATTGGAGGATATCTCTTGTACTGCATCAACCTGGTGAGATAAATTGAGGAATCTCTTCATAATGCACTTTAATGTAAAATGAGAGTCTTCACAGCTTCCAGCACACACAGAGTGGGAACTGCAAAAATCTCCTTAATTGCAGTGTCTAAAAGACCATGCGTCCACGTCTACGTGAATGCAGATTTCCCTCTCAGTTAGCTCAGATCGCAACTGCTACTTGGACTGGTCTATGGCCCAGGCGGGATTCGAATTGAGAACATGTGTCTCCGTCTATCCATACTGATACCCCGGACTGGAACTAACTTTTAAGTTTCATGGCATTTTGTGCTTCTTTGATCTTCCCTAATTTAACCTTGGCCCATTCGTCACATGTCGCAGCCAACTACTCTGAGTGCTTCCATCGACGTGGTTATAATCCAAACAAACTATCGCGTTAGAGATGCCTCTCTACCTTATTCAGGGCAATGTTAGTCGAGTAAAATCTCGACATGGTAGCACAAATTGTATATTCACTATTCCTCGAGCTCCTCGATTTCCCGTGATTGTTGGGAATTCCTTGGCTATTCGGTATCATATTTTTGTCAAATTGCACAAGTTTTATCTGATGTAGAAATATCGGATAGCAACTCACACCATGATAAATAGAAAATTATACTAATTCACTTTGGACCAGGATTCTAATTTTAGAGGTATGTGAAAAATTTTAACTTCCAGCCAATCCAGGCCCATCCCGCCTCACATCTTTGGTAAGAACTTTTGTTTTAATAGACACTTCTCAAGTATTCTGCAAGCATATTCTTGAGGCAGCCATAATGACTCCAGTTATTCCCGAAATGTATCCTTTTCTTATAGAGCAGTTTTTGCCAGACCGAAACCGAATGTGTTGAGGTCAGAACTACTTTCCTCTTTGGATGAGGCAAACTCCAACCTTCCCATCATTCTCCATGAAATCGCTATTGGTTCCTATAGCAGTAAACGTAACAGATTGTGACTCTCACTTGTCCTAGAACTCATTGCTACTCATAAAAGCGCTGATTATGCTTGCTCGAATCGTCTCTAGGGTGGAAGGTTACTTTGAAGTTTGCGCATTTCTACATGATATTTGGAATCGTTTGTGCACGCATACTCCCCAAGGACATCCAGAACGCCATTTCATACTTTTACATATGACTCTAAATTAGTCTAAATGTTAGTCTGTGCCAAGAGAGGAGAATCTGGGTTTGGAGGATTCTTTTGGCTTGAGGCTGCTAGAAAAAGGAAGCAACTCAACATTCTTTTGTTGCTATGCCTCTAATTACTGTCACACTTAGTTCACTTCCTCTCTAACATACACATACACAAAAAGCTTGTCAACTTAGTCAACATTTGTATGACATTATGTAATCGCTTTGATGTCTGAAAATAGGAGAGTGTAGGCCATTAGACCTTGATGATCGAGTACAGGTTAATGGCCTATTAATAATTAGTAATTGCTACTCATTCTAATTATACGGATTTAAATAATCAAATCACTGTATACCTCATAAAATTCATAGGTTTTATGCATATACACATCATGTATGGAATATGGTCATAAGAATGATACATGTCTCTGAAGATGTCCGTCATATGACCAACTCAGTTTTAGTACATTTTCACCTGAATTGGGGAAGATTGCCTCCGGAGCATCTACAACCAGAATGTTCCAATAACAGCCGGCCAAGAGGAATCCACCGTCGTCTTCTGGTGAGGTCGGCCTTTGGATCCAGTCATCGAGCTACACCTCCACTGAAAATGGCAATTGGCTCAACAAGTTTTTCATAGAGCCCAAATCCCCGCACACATACAGACTTATGCAAACATGGCGGGGACACTGGGGGCATATACAGCTTTGATTTCTGTCATCTTACACGCTTCATCTAACCGGCTTGTGGGAATTCGGCTAAGGCACACACCTTTTCGAGCCCATGTTGCCTGTCGCCTTACTATTCTCTCTGTTCTCCCAGTGAAGCCTTCCCATCTGCCTACCACGATCTCATTCACATTCTTATCGCTTCCTTGACATGTGTTTTCATTCTGCCTCCTCTTCCATTAGGTCCTGTCTATCTTGATTAGAATAAAAGACAAGTCCCTCTTATCAGTCCCTCTTCTTTCAAGGCTGATCCCTACTGGACTCGTATAGATACCAAAACTTTAGCGACCATAACTTCCATGGCTACTATAAAGCTTTATCTTCACGACCGTTCACCCCACATGTTCGCGTTATTCCCTTTTTAATTGGCCCACTGCTATCGGCTGGCTTCCAAACTCCTGCACAAAAGTCGTTTCACCTTGTCGTTCTCCGCCTCTCGCGCCACTTCACTCTTTTATTTATACACATGTTTATCCGCATGTCTAAATGCCAATATAAATTTGTATACAGTGAACATGTAAACTGGCCTCCCGCCTGCTCCCTCTCTGGGTCATCTCTTCTTCATTTATTCAATCCATCTTTTTTCATTCTTTTATCTCATCTATCATTTCATGCGTAAGCGCACATATTTTTGCCATCCAGATTCGTATACTACTTTCTTTTACTGTTCCACGTTGCACCTGCAGATCGTGAGTTCTTCTGGCTCAACCTGTACACCTTCGACTCGGCCGTTCTCAAGGCGCGACTCTTCCAGCGCGCTCTGGTCGCCTTCAGCCTGGATGGCATCCAGTTCACTCGACGTCAGCTCGAGATGCGTACGACGGCAGCACAGCACCTGAAGGTGGTAGGCGATAGTCTGGCTGGTCTTCGAGTTGGCAGTCCATCGGCTCCGGGGCCTCGAGATCTCGAGGCAGAAGAAAGCGAACACTTCGGTCGCCAGGGTGATGCTTATCACGACAATCTGGTGCCTAAAGAGGCGGGAGAAAATGAACCTGTTTTGAGACATGAAGCGGTCGGTG